CCGGCGCAGGGCGGCCCCTGGCCCGGGATGAACCGAGCCTTCACCAGGCGTCCCTCCTCGGGGCTCTGAGACGAGGAGCCCTCGCTCTTGAAGTCCAGGCCCGGCCTGTCCTCCACAGCGAAGGCCGCAGGCGGCGGCGGAGGAGGAGGAGGAGGAGGAGGCCCGGGGGCCGAGGAGGCCTGCAGGCTGCTTTTCGCGGTCGCCATCTTCTTCGGGGGTGGCAGGACTTTGCTCTCTGGCCCGGCGCCGGCGCCCCCGCCAGGGCCGTCTTTGGGAAGCCCAGCCGAGAGCTGACTACCTTCCTTAAGGGACTCCGTGGGCCCAGCAGTGGGACCCCACGCGTGTTCTTGGGAGGCCGCCTTGGCGCTTGGGGGCTCAGAGACGATGGCGGCCGAGCAGCCCTCGGGCGGGGAGGGCCTGCGGCCTTCCAGCTGCTCGGCCTTTGGGTCCTTGGACCACTGCTTCAGCGGCGAGGAGGCCCCGCTGTCTGAAGGCGGCGTCCCCGCGGCGGGCAAAGACACCTGCTTGGAAGTCTTGAGGTTCACACCGTTGCTTTGGGGGACGCCCGCGGCCGCCCTGACGCACACGCTGGCGTTCCTCAGGAGCCCTTTGGTGGGGTCCGCGGTCACACTGGTTCTCGGTTTGTTGGTCCTTACAGGGTGGGTTTTTTTCTGAACCAGGCTCAGGATGTAGCCATCCATTTTCTTAGTGCCCAAAGCGTGGGAAGCAGGCCACAGGCCGCTTGGAGACGGCAAGGAACTGTCCGTCTTGGTGCCATCGTCCAGTTCGGACGCGACACAGAGGTCACCGGCCTGGTGCCCCAGCCTCTCCTCTTCCCTCAGAGGGTGGCCCGTCAGACAGAGGAGAAACATGGGGCTCTGCACAGCCACGGCGTGGAGCGGACTGGGGTAGCGATACACATCATTCCCGTTCTTGGATACCAGATCACACTGGTACTTGGGATTCACATCTGAAATGACACCAAGGGAGTTAAATCGTGGTGTGGAAAGGGAACTGCAAAGGGCCCCCGCAGGCCTGGTCTTTCCAGTGGCCTTCTTTATATTCCCACCAGCTTACGAGACAATGGGAAAGGCATTTAAAGGTCCACTGGAAAAATTAGCACTAGCTTGACTCTGGCCAATTTTTAAGACAAACTCATGGGTTGAGAAATAACTCCGAAGGATTAAAAAGTACCCCATTGGCTAGTAATCTGTATTAAAGATGGGTAAGGGGAAAAATACATTCAACAAAAAAAAAAAATGACAATAGGGGCTGGGAATGTAGCTTAGTGGTAGAGTGCTTGCCTAGCATGCATGAAGCCCTGGATTAGATTCCTCAGTACCACATAAAACACAAAAAAGCCAGATGTGGTGCCGTGGCTCAAGTGGTAGAGTGTTAGGCTTGAGCAAAAGATGCTCAGAGGCAGTGCCCAGGCCCTGAGTTCAAGCTCCAGGACTGGCCAAAAAAAAAAAAAAAGACAGTCACCTGTGGCTCACACCAGTAATCTTAGCTACTCAGGAGGCTGAAATTTGAGGACCAGAGTTCAAAGCTAGCCCAGGCAGCAAAGTCTGTGAGACTCTTCAGTTCAATCACAGAAAAAGTGATGCTGTGGCTTCAGTGGTAGAATGCTAAACTTGAGCAAAAAGAGCTCAGGGACAGCGCCCAGGCCCAGAGTTCAAACCTCACCCCCCCTTCCCCCCCCACAAAAATGGCATTTCACATGTTCTTAAGGAATGATACTCAGCAAATAAGAATGCTTTCAGGAAGTGGCACTGTGGGTCAAGTGATAGAGCACTTGCCTTGAGCTGAAGAGCTCAGGAACAGCCCAGAATTGAAGCCCCAGGACTAACCAAAAAAGCAAAAAAGCTTTCAAACTACTCAATCATAGAACAGGCTTTATAAAGTTTAATGAAAAATCATTGTAAAATACCAGAGTAGGCTTAATTTTATAAGGATTGTGCATTTGCAACAAAAGTCTCAGATGAAGCATACCAAAATTCTAATAGTAGAAACAGCGTGATGTAAAAAATGAGGATGGGGGAAATGTTTGGTACTGATACTAGGATTTAAAATCAGGATCTAGGCACTGTCCCTTAGCTTTTTATTTTTTTCTCAATCCTGCCACTTTACCACTTGAGTCACAACTCCACTTCTGGCTTTTTTGGTGGTTAACTGGAAACAAAAGTTTTACAGACTTTCCTGCCAGGGCTGGCTTCGAACTACAATCCTCAGATCTCAGCGTCCTGAATAGTTAGGATTTCAAGCATGAGCCACCTGTGCTCAGCTTGGCATTTTCATTTTTGAGATATGCTAGATTCTAGCACTTGCTTGAGGGAAAGTTCTCTAAACTTCCACAGTTAACAGCCTCAGGAGAAAAGAAAAATCAGATCCAGTTATCAATGAGATTTGTAAAGACATAAGTTGGAAATTCGTCTCTACTTGCTCTGCCCCAATAAACAATTAGTTCTAACACTTTCCTACCCCTCAGTCTTTGTCTTTTCTTATTTAAAGGCTGTGTTTGCCTTTACTTCGTTATTTATTCCTTTTCCCTATTTCATGTCAAGCAGATATCCCAGCCCCCAAGAACCAGCCCAGCTATCTCAGTTATGTGAAAATGTGGCATTTGGGAGAACTAAGGAAATCCGGGAGCCAGAGCATTTTGTAAGCCTTAAAGTAAAGCCTGTATCATAGTGGCCTCTAATAGGTTTAGAAATTTTCCCTCTGAAACTAGATTTGCAGGATGAAGGGGAGCAACTACCAACAAGCCTGAAGTATACTCTATATAACAAGAGTGCTATACTTTTCCAAATGATTGCTGCTGCCAAAAACATATACAAATAGATATCAACCAATTAGCAACTTTAGCTGTTAAATGTTTGTCTTGCCTTGAGCGTTGTACCCCAGTTGGAAATATGGGCAAACTCGAGTGCAATGAATTGTGCCAGCACCTATGGAAATTCTAATATTTTCTCTGCTCTCTATCACAGAATTGAAGATGGAATAATCAATTTCAGCCACAGCTGCCTTTCCAAAGATAGGGAGTTTCTGACAATAGCTTATAAGCCATATTTTTTTGTATTAATTGTGATTCTCTTACAATGGTAGAAAAACATGGACCTGGCAGACCTAAGCAAGAAGGGAAGAGAGGGTAAAGGAGGAAGGAGGAAGGGGGAAGGGAGAGGAGAAAAGGAGAAGGCAGATAATCTAAACAAAGACTTAGAAACTCAACTTAGTACCCTCCAATATTAGGATAGCATTTTTAAAATTTTAAAGTTACCTTCTATTGCCACTATTAGAATATAGCCAAGTGGTACCCAAAGCATATTAAGATTCATTCTAGATATTTCCTACACATCAAACTATAGGTTCCAGATGTTGCTATGAGGAGTACAGCAAATTCATGACCTTTAGCTTTTCTGTCTTTAACAGGAACTGGAGCTAGATAACATTAAGTCCCCTTATCATCTAATTAAAATTTCTGTCAATGCTTAAAATTCTTACCTGTAGATTTGAGGCAACTATCCGAGATGGTCATGGTGGCCTCCAGGGGGCTACAAAAGCAGGTACTGGAATGACAACTGGATAAACATTCACTGAATACCGAATTGGAGGAATTAGAAAGGGATCCCGAAGCCCCATCACTCAGCTCATAAAACCCTATAAATTAAAAAGTGGTGGTTGCAAGTAAGCATATCAAGGAAAAATACATATTAATTCTTAAGAAGAGTAAATCATGTATGAAAGAAGGTGTTTGCTTGGTTGGTTAATTGGTTTGATTTAGGGAAGTTTTATGATTTTGTCAGTTTTGTCTCACTAGATTTTAGAGTATTGATTTTATGGTTTTATTTCAAACATAGGAAAAGGCAAAGAGCACATAGTTATGGATATATTTCAAAGTTTTACCCTCAAATCAACCTTTCTACTTTGTCCTACCTTTAAAGATGTATAAGAACAAACTTTGATTTTTCAGAGCCTCAACTTAATCATAAATGTTTCAGAAAATTCTATTTAAGTAGCCAAATGGTTTAGAAGAAGAAAAAACCTTTTGAAGTGGTCTCAAGAAGTGTGACTAATTTTCCAGCCTAGTTCTGACTTTCTCAAATTTCAAAGGACTATCACTCCTCCAGAAATTTGAATAGAAGCTTTCATTTTTAATTCAAGAGACTTCATTCAAACCTATCAGTCTCATTAAAATATTTTGTTGTCTGACTTAAATTTTCAATCATGCAACAAACATAATGGCAAACTATCAATACTCTGTTAGAAATCAACTCCATTGCTATTTGCAGGTCCGAGTTTACTAACCTCAATGGAGTGAGCCCTGAGTGCAGAATTCAGTCCTATGCTCACTCACCTGAGCTAGGTCGGCTGTCTGTCTCCAGGTGCTCTTCAGAGGTTTTTTCTACATCAAGTCTCAGGTCACTTATCTGCTTGTCAAGTTCTTGCAACTGATTCAACAAACCAGCATCTCTTCTTCTCAAACAATTCTGATTAGGAGAAAACAGGGACACCACACACACCAAGAAAAAAAAAGAATCTGCTAAGTATTCAACTAAAAGGCTCACGTTATCTTTTTAACCCAGAATCTTACTGGATACCTTGAGATAAAGAAAACCTTCAAAAACAAATCGTGTTTTTAATTGTACAAGGACACATTTTGTGGCAATATAAAGTTCCTCATTAAACTAAAAGCCTTATTTTTAAATTTTAACTAATACAAACTGACTTTTTATGGGTAGGGGCAATAAAACTGCATAGAGACTTTAAATCATCTGGGATACAGCCAGTAGTTGAGAGAGAGAGAGAGAGAGAGAGAGTGTTCACGAGAAACCTTCACAGTAGGCTCTTGAATTTAAAGTCAGAGTAACAGATTTCTTACAATACACTATAATCTTACTTAGGTGAGGTTTTCTGGCCAAATGTCTTGGCCTGCAGAGTGTTGTTTTCTATTAGTTGCTTTGTGGGGTTTAATCAGTCTTAGAGCCTTTGAAAGTGAGAAACTAATACTAATAGCTAGCGCCAAGTATAATGTGAGCTGGCAGAATTCAAAACCCTCAAGGGAAGGCCCATCAAGATTTGGACTCAGCTAAGGTTTCCAAAGGTGACAGATTGGTTGTGCTAACTCACACCGCCACCTAGTGCTTCCTGTTGCTGGGAAAGAGAAAGAACTCAAAAGGCATCTGGTTCAAATCATGAATGCCAAGTCTACAAATGAAAATAGTACTATAAACACTGACTGGAGTGGAATTCTCCTGACATACTGCCTTGCTCCCCTGAAATGGACAATAGGAATGTGCCACTTACAATGCTCAGATTCATGAAGACAAAAAGGTGCTATTGTACAAGACTGTGTAAAACGTAACCGATCAGACATGAACAAGGAGAATGAGTTCAAATCAATGTTACATACAAACTGCGTCTGTTACCACCAAAACATAGAAATGCCAAAAGCAGCTGATAGCCCAGGCCCCAGCGCACATCCTTAGTTGAAAGAGAACAGCTACTCTTCCTTTCTGTCCTTTGACTTAGAAGACTTAGGAATATAAATCAGGTTTGTTTGCAAAATTTCTAGTTTTGTTTTTTGTTTTTCAGGGGAAAAAAAATGAACCTTAAAAGCACTCTGATGGTCAATAAATAATCTGTTAAGAGGTAAGGCAAAAGAACACATGACAACACACATCACAATCACTTTGTTAGGAAGGCCAACGTGTCGCCTGTGTCTACTTTCAGATCGTACCACAAGGTCAAACAGGGATCTTTTTGCTGTTTCCAAAACTACATTTTGAGATGACTGAAACAAAGCTGCCGCCATTACTCTGAGGCGGGGTCAAAAGCTGTTCTCCACACATTCGGGTCCAAAGTTCTTTTTCTTCCCTATTAATGAAGCCTGCACAGAATGACTGCGCCCCTGACAGAAATCCAATAAGATAAATGTTTCCTGAGAGCAGGTTCTCTCTTCTCCCACCTCAGCCACCAATCGCAGCTGGCAGAACACATCAAATATGGGGGCGGGGGTCAAGTTCTCCAGCCAAATTGCAATCATTTGCATCGAGTTGTAGCTACCCTATACAAAGAACTTCTATTTGAAACTAAGCAAGAGCCCGGGGTAGCAGGGGCCGGCGGGAGGCGAGCCCCGGGAGGGAGGGGCACGGCTCCCCGCAGGCGCTACAGTGTAATCTGAAAACTTGGGCTGGGACCGTGAAGCACGCCACCAGCTCGCTCCGGGCTTTTGTCCCCTCCCTGCTGCGGGAGATGAAATGAGGGCTATCTCCAAATAAAATGCTTCTCAAATCTCTGCGGAGAGGGCATGTGCTTTGCTGATCTAACTGGAAAGACTTTTCAGGTTGGAACTCAGCGAGTCAAAGCAGCCAGGATGCCAGGCGGGGGGTGGGGGACGCTGAAGCCACTCGGGTCCCCGCAATCCGCGCGAGGTCGCCAGCCCCTCACCTGACACAAAGCATGCACAGCCTAGGAATGGGTGGGCGTCGGTAGCCCACGCGCCCGGGGCAGAGCCCGCACTCGGGGTGGGGGGGGATCCCCCAGAGGGTATGAGAGGTGCGGGGTCGCGAGTCGCCAAGAGGTGCCCTCGCTCGCGGCCCCCCTCCAGCTCCGCCGCAGGCCTGCCGTGCTCACCTTGGGGCGCGGACTTACCAATTGCTTCCGCAGCAGCAAGATGTTCTCCTCCAAGAACTTCTCCTCCAGGCGGCTGCGCTGCACCGCG